TTATGAAATTTATAATTTGTGCATCAAGCAAGAGCAGTTGAGCGTCAGATTGTCCTCATGCATTGACTTAGGCCTGTAACATAGAAGATAAATAATTCAAAATCCTATTTCAATTATAATCGAGGAATGTTGTCGCACAGAAGTGTAGTAGCTCAATATCAGTTGTACCTTTCTTCAAAAGTACAACCACTGAGTCATTAATCCTTCTATTTTTCACTATGCTTCCTAAAGTGCATAGGGATTTTACTGATGTTGCTGATGCTTTGCCCTCTTACCCTTACATGTGCCCATTTTTTTGTAATGTTATTTTGGATTCGTTTTTAATTTTTTTTACTATAATGTTTCATACATAATGGATCAATATCACATTGCTTTCCTGATTGATGTCTAATATACTAAAATTCTTTGAGCAGTAAAGTAAGTTGGGGATGTGATAGTGACATAGTAATTTTGGTTGTTCATAGTTGTTGAAATTAGTTAATATATGCTACAATATCACCGCCAACAACTATGGTTCTATCTGTTGCAGCTTCTGTGCAACAACATTCCTTGATTGATGCCATCTGAAGCTGGTGAAGAGGCTTACCAGTTATTCCGTCTATGGTAGCACCTGGGCAATATTGTATCGTGCTGTTATTCTTCCCATTATTTCGTGTATCATCGATGGTACAATAAAATATGATAGAAATACTCCTCCATTTCCTTCTTTCATTTTCTTCATCTGCCCTTGCAGTGAGCTATTAAAACACGAGCAAATTATTGCTTGATGTAGTTATCTATCTCTTTCCTTAACACTAACATATCTTCAAGAAAAACAAAACCCGTGCATAGCACGGGCGAAAACTAGTAGTATTAGAAAAGTAAATGGATTATGAACGATGCAACACTAATTGGAACACTTTGCATTCCAAGAGTAATTTCCTCACCGAATGAACTTATTTATTTTTAAATTGTGTCATCAGCCAATGAAAAACTGCTTAGTGTGAACCTAGCATAAATGTGTCAAGACGGACGGGCTGTTCGATCAGACCGGTGAAAATCGATTCGGATTGATCTAGGACCGCGGGTCGATCCGTGACCCGAGCGGGCGGTTCACAGGTTAAGGAGGTGTGACCCGCGGGTTGCACTTTCACGGGCCACGGTTAACCCGCTGGCCAGTGAAAAAAGATAAATTTTATAAAATTTGGAAAAAGGAGGGGGGCTGGGAGAGCAAGATAAAATTATTGATGATATTGTTGAATATTTCAAAAATCTTGCAGTTCCTGAAAATTGATTGGAAAATAAATATTAAATTATATAAACTTTGAACAACTAAATTATAGTTAACACTTAACTAGGTGTCAACCTAGTCGGGATGTACTTAAACTATAAATTATAACAAAAGTAGGTGCCAACTTAGTTGTGATGTACTTATACTATAAATATTTGATAATAGTAATTAGAAATGCATTTAGTTGTTATTTGTTTAAGTTAAATTTAACTTTGCAAAATTATAAATAATTTTTTTTTTATTTTTAGTTATAAATAATTGATATANAACATATCTTCAAGAAAAACAAAACCCCGTGCATAGCACGGGCGAAAACTAGTATTATGAAAAAATTCGTTGGTATAAATTAATGTTTCTGCTCACATAGTTAGGTTTAACATAAATTTTACGTCATTTACGAATCGACTATATAACTAATTTTTTCTTAAGAATAAATTTATCTCGATTAAATAAATCATTTTTTATTGTAGCTAAACCTATTTCCATAAGCATAGTATAAAAAAGCCTAGTAAAATTTGATTTCTCAATTACTGTTAGACAAAATCATTAATTTATTTTATGGTTTACTACAAGATCATTTTTTTTAATGGAAGGATGGCGGTACCTCCGAGATTTTATTAATATGTCCTCACTTGTGGTGGAGGAATACTGTGGTTACAGCTGAAAATAAGCAAAACAATAAATGGGGAAGTACTACTTCCCTTACATCAAAAGTAAATAAGAGCAATAAAAAAGGAAGTATTACTTCCCTTATAGCAGGAATAAAGTAAAGCAATAAAAACGGAAGTACTACTTCCCTTACAATAAATATAAAGTGAAGCAATAAAAAAGGAAGTACTACTTCCCTTACAAGAAGTGCAAATGTAAGCAAAAATAAAAAGTAACAGTAAAGGCAAGATACGAATACCCAAACCTAAACTCAGAATCTGATGCTGGGCAAGCCATACCTGTCAATCTGAACAAGCACCCTAATTTGGCGTGGTAAGTCAGTTGGTCCATATTCTTGGTATCGACGATTATGCCATCCCTCGGTAGTAAGTGCATCCGCAACTTGATTCCCTTTTCTGAATATGTGGGAAACCGTGTCTCTGTCAAAAGAAAGGATATCAGCAATCTGTCGGATGATGCCTTGGATGGCCTAAGGTCCACCACCTCTAATGATGCAGTGAATTGCGACACTCGATTCAGCCTCAACCCATATGCCCGATAAACCAAGATCTCCAGCCAATAGTAGTCCATCACGAATAGCCCTAAGTTCCGCTTCTAAAATCATACACTGTCCATATGAAGCTGAAAAGCCCTGATGCAATTCCCTGCGTAGTCCCTGATGATGCCTCCCCCACTTGCTAACCCATCCTTGACACAACTGTCAGTGTTGATCTTGATAGATCCAAAAGGTGGAGTGCACCACCAAACCATGCTGAGGGAGGAGATGAGGGGAGAGTCAAAGAAATACCAAAAAATATAGCAAGCTGCAAGTCATTACGCCAATGTAACGGTTGAAATAGTCCACTAGTACGGGGGCTGGAGACCATATGGTAAACTCTCCAGATAATACGTCTCGAACTCATTCGTATGTTCTCGTGCTTTGCATTATTCTTCGCAGTCCAAAGAAACCAGAAAATCAATAGAGGAATAATGATGCGAATGTACCCAGTCCTTACAACCTAACCGAATACCTTCATCTCAGAAATTTCTATCTGACACTCTCTCCAGCAACCACGGTAATCTGAAATAAAGCCCCAAAATGTTGCCAAACATGATCTGAAATACTGCTACAAGTAAAAACATGAGTGATGGTCTCAATCTCTGAACAACACTAACATCGAGAAGCCAATTGACTGCCGATCCTCCTTTGGATAATGACATCAAATGGTATTAAGTCCTGCCATAATCGCCAACAGAAGAACGAAACAGTAGGAGGAATGATAGGGCTCTACAGTATGCGAAATGAATTTTGCACAGGCTTACTAGAGCGGATCAGCTGCCATGCTGATTTAGTAGTAAATTTACCATCTGATGTAGCCCTCCAAAAAATGCGATCCGAGATATCAAGAGATAGTGGAATGGCCGCAATCTGCTCTGCCATAGCTGTTGGAAGAACCTGAAGTAATCGCCCAAAATCCCATCCAGTCTCCTCGAAAAAATCCTGCACCCTCGCAGATGTGTGCTACCTGTGTGGGAAAATGGATGCCAGTGTAGAATCACCCATCCAACAATCATGCCAAAAAAAGAGTTGCCCTATCCCAAGGCTCTACGCAATGTGTGTCTCTGCGCATGGTCCAAATCTGTTCAGTCTCTTCCTAATGGGAGAGGCTGAGTGAGGGATAGCTGCAAGTGACGGATGTGTCTCTATACAATATTTACCCAATAAAAACTGAGCCTAAAGAGAACTCTGAGACCTGAACAGCCACCATAGCTTCAATGAGAATGTGTCCACCGTATCATGTAATCGTCTAAAACCCAGACCTCCTTCATCAGCAGGGAGACAAATTGCCTNCGACATATCTCCTTCCAACTCCGCCAATGTAATCTACGTGCATGGTCCTTCCAATCCCATAGGAATCGCGCAAAAATGCTCTCCAGCCTTTTCAGAATGACCTTAGGAGGTCGCATAATCTGGAAAAGATACAGTGGTATAGAGTAAAAAACAGACCTTTACAGAGTAATCTTACTACCGGGAGAAAGAAGGCCCGAAGCCCATCCAGAAATCCTACTCCTGACCTTCATAATAAGTTCATTACTACAAGATCATATTCAATCACGTTTGCACAATAAAATATTCTACGCGTATACCAAAAAAAATTATCCTAAATATACTATTCAAAACTAATTTTTTCCTCAATTAATGAGAATCAAATAGGCTGTAAATACAATCATTCCTTATTTCGTGTTATAGTTTCGTTCTAAATTCTTCTTTTTCAGCAATTGTATACAATTTTTTATTGACAACAGGATATTGTTATTGTAATAATTGATTTCAATTTATTTTACATATTTTATTCTTGATACACTTTATCCCAGTATCAATTTAGCGGGCACCAAGAGTTCTTTAAGTTCATGAGTCCGAGTTGAGAACCTAATTTTAATAATTTCCAAAAGCAATGTAGATCTAGGATATTTAAACAAAATTGAGAGAATAACAAAAAAATTGGATAATGTCTTTAATCATTAAAAGATATTTAAATTTCGAAAAATAAAATAGTGTACTACAATTTATTCAAAACTTGTTTTTGAGAGATTTTTGCAAGTGAAAAAATAATTTTTTTTGAAAAAAAATGTTTGACTAAGAGGAGAAAATTTATTGATTCCGTACGATATTTGATTGAAAATAATTTTCAAAAACATCTTTCCCAGACACTTTCAATATCAACCTGGGCCTTTCTATTTTTTAATTTTTTTAAAAAAAAATTACCTCGAACTCTATATGTAAAATTTCAATTTCAAAAATCAAATCTTAATAATTTTCCTTCAATAATCTGGTGATAATTCATCTTTTAAATATTAATATATTATAAAATTAATTTAATCTACATATTTACTCCACCCCACTCTCATTCATCCCAATCTAATTTCATTTCCAAACCCTAGATCTTTTTCCACCATCTTCCCTCTCTCTATCTTTCCTTGTTTATCACGTTCTCTATCCACCCCATCCCTCTATATTCCATCGCCATTGCGTGCAATGAAGTAGAAGTACTGCACAAAATGGTGACCTGCACAGCGCGGTAAGGCGCTGCTATTGTTTGTACAGCAACGGCATGCCGCTGCGAGAAGCAGCAAACGACTGCTTGCATGGCGCTGTTGCTACTGTGAGCAATGGCGTCTCACTCCAAACTTAAAGTTGTTTAGCAAAGCCTTGCTCCGAACCGCGTTTGCAGTTGTGTTGATCTAGATGTAGTAGTGGTACGGTAATGCTGGTGTTGCATTCGTTGTTGTCTGTGTGGTGGTGGAGGGTCCGACGGTTTGTGCTCATCTGTGCGGTGGATTATGCTTAGTGTGTGCTAATTTGTGCGGTGGTGGGTGTAGATATGTGGGTGGTGTGAATCTGCAGTTATGTTGATCTACATGTGATGGTGGTGATGAGGTGACGTCGATGGTTCTGGCGGTAGTGGTTGGGATTTGTTGAAATTGTTAGTGGTAGTTGTGGGGGTGGTGGCAATGGTAGGTTTTGCTGGCGGTGTTGGGGTGATGTAAGATGTTAGGTAGGGGAGATTGTAACTCATTAATTTAACAATTTGTCATCGGAAAAATAGTTGTTTTTAACTAATTTGATAATTTGTGATAAAAAAATATTTGTGACTAATTAATTTGATAATTTGTGACTTACAAAGAAGTTGTGACTAATTAATTTGAAAATTTGTGATCGATAAATAAGTTGTGATCCATAAAATGTGTAATTTGTGATCAAATAATAAGTCGTGATCAATTAATTTAATAATTTGTGATCGTAGATGGGATGTTATTGCGAACTTAACCTATTTAAATACTAAAAATTATTTAATTACCTATTTAACTAATACCACATTATTTTTGAAAAAAATTGTTTCTTTAAAAGTTGATAGTTGCATATTTTTCCCTTTTTATTTTCCAGATCCATCTTGAGAGTATCACCCAATATGGGTTATGCTTCTTGTTTGCATCAAGAAATGATTTTTTTTTTTTAATTTTTAATACTTGATTTGGATAAAAGGAGGTATAAAAAAAAATACAAAAAATCATTTCACAATCTAGTTCAAAATTCTCTACAGTTATGACGTTAAAAAATGGAATGTGCTTGGTATACATAATATATGTACATAGGGGTGTCCACACCCTCACATGGGGTGGGACCCATAAAATTACAAATAATTTCTAGATCTCAACCAGTCTCGACCTATGTCGAAAAAAAAAAACATTTCTCAAATAAAGATTGAACTTCTTAAACCATAGAATAAAAAAATGTCAACAAAACTGTGAGAAGAAGAATATGAATCTTAGTAATCATTTGGCAACAAATGACGCTGTAAATAACTGTATTTCAATCTAATCATTCATACACCAAGAAGAGAGGCATTTGCAAACCCACCAAGCCCATGTAGAGAAACTGTACAAACCTGGCGGTGTGGCTTGTTGGCTAACATAAGAAGTTATAAGTTTATTACTTATATGTACACAAGTTTTTATATTAAAAATATTTTTATTGATCGAAATTGGAAATAGGTTAATTATTTTGACACTAACCGTCAAAATAAGTACTCAAGATTAGCCAAACATGCTCTTAGGTGCCGCCACACGACTTGCTGTTGTTGGAGGAAAGAGGGGTTTACTAACTTGGTTTGGCTAAAACTTGATAGGAAGGACAACACTAATAAGAAGTAAGTAAATAAAAATGTAACTTATTTCTCAATTTCAAAACTTACACACTTGACTTGACTTGACTTATTACAAAATGGAGGGACTCTATCCCTTAATTTAAGGTTTACATGAAACTTCTAGATTACACATTTTTCTAGAGACTTCTAGTCAACATATATTCATGAGACTTCTAGATCACATATTTGGACTAAATATTTTTCTAAAATATTCTAGATGGAATTTCTAGAACCACATAATCTACTTGACAAATTACTACATTTATGACCACATCTTTTACTTAGACATTTACATGGATTTTTCTAGAAAATGCTTCAAGAAATGTTAGACTTTATTGAGCTTTTTAATTGAATTGGGCCTATGTGCAAAAATTCTTAACCCCATATTACTTAGAGCTTATTTGGGAGAGATTTTTGGGGGAAGAATTGATTTTGATATCACCATACTACCCTTTACACACTAACTTTTTCTTTAAAAAAAAACTACACTACCTTTTATAATAAAATAACTTCTTACACTGGTTGAAAATGAGAATTGATTTATTGTAGAAGAATTTAATTCCTCCCAAACAGGGCCTTAATCCAAAATCAAGTTTACTTCCCAACATCCTCCCTTAAAATTGATTTTGTTACTTCAAGTAAAGTTCTTAGCTTATGGAACACGTCGGGCTTGAGTGGCTTAGTGAGAATGTTGGTGATCCGCTCTTACGAGGTTACATACTTCAACTGCACCTCATTCTTTGCAATGCTTTCTCTTACGAAGTGATATCTTGTATCGATGTGCTTGCTTAGATCGTGGAACATATGATTCATTGCTAGAGTAATTGTCGATTTCTTGTCAACGAAGAGTCTC